TCTGCATTCTGACATTAGTGTGGACTGACAGAGGTCTCATTTTTTCAATGTTCACTTAAAATTTTAACTATGATGGTTCTAGCCTTTGACGGCGGTTGGATGCCATTAACGGTCCTGGAAGGAATAAACATCCATGCCCATAGGCTGGAAGAAATGTGGACAGATCACCTAGAATTCTGCACTATTATAGCAAAACAATATAATACTGAATGCTCACTGTGTGGAGGCCCACATGGCAAAGATTATTCATAAAGACCATCTATAAACACAAGGCAAAGAGAGTCAAATGCATGTGGAAAAGAAGTTCTGGGTTTGTGATTTTAGGGACCACCTCTTCAAACTGAATCGGCACAAAAAAACTTAAAAAAATAACACCCTAAAGAGAAACACACAGAGATGAGAACCAGTAAGTGTTAGTAATTAAAAAAATTCCAGGGGAGAAAAATATTTTAAAGATAAAAGAATCATTTCTAAACAAAGGGACTGGGTGTGTGTAGGATAACATTGGCTTGTCCTTTCTGCCTTGCCACAAGGAGCTTAGGTTTATTGGGTTACTCCCATTACAGTGCTCCCATTCCTCTGTGCTTACTTGTAATCTCTTTCTTTGTGCTCTGCTTCCCCAACCAACCAATCACGTTTGTCTCCTAATCAGACTGTTAACTTGTAAATTTCGCTTTTCTCTTCTCCTTTAAGTCCTTTGCACAAGTAATTCAGAGCAATGTCCTTTTTGTACAGACACAGGAGGACAGTTAATGCTATGCTTTTGTAACTGGAGAGTTAACTGACTCTGAATTATATTCCCTCCTGGGCATCTGTTCTCTTGACCTAAGCCTCAGTTGCCTTTACTTCCTAGCATGCAAAAAGCAGAGCCCCAATGTGCTCTTCACATGCGTAGGATGCCAAAGAGGACTGAGAATAAAAATGTAAACATAACAGCACTATCTACTGTGCACAGAGGCCATGTGGACAGAGGGCCCCTTACAGCAGGTAGTGGTCCAATGTCCCTTCATGTTAAGTGTAAACTAAATAGGAGAAGTCCTTCCCTGCCTATATTCTCAAGAGTACATTGCTTTCCTGGCATGGGTGGTTAATTTATGAGGTCAGGGAAAATACATTCATGAAATTGAACTGTGTTGACAAAGATGGGCAGGTATTCTCCTGGCCTTTAATAGGGAGCCCTGCAAGGAAGTCGAGACTCTGAACACCTTACATCCAATCACTGACTGATGTTTGCATAAAGACTGTCCCAAAGGTTCTTCTTATTTCATTTGCAGGTGTCAAAAAATCTCCCATTGAAATGACTACTGAAAATGTATGAGTTGTGGGGCTGGGGAGAGAGTACAGCAGGTCAGGCACTTGCCTTGCACATAGTCAATTGTGCTTTGATCTCTAGCACCACATATGGTCCCCTCTGAGCATCCCAGGGGTGATCCCTGAGCACAAAGCCAGGACAAAGCCCTGAGTACTACCTGGTGTGGTGCCCCCTCAAAACAAAATGTAGGCAGTACAAAGACTTAATGTGGAATCTTATGCAGAGGCCTATATATATAAAAGCTCTGCTCAAGGTGTGACACTGCTGTACAATGAGCCCTGAAATGTAGCCATGGCTTGAAGGAGTTGGGAGTGGAGGATTTATGTTATTAGCAGGCCGATTCATGAGTAGGGACCTTGGGTCACCAGGCAAAGGATGAGAAACATTAAGGAAGAATCCCTTTCTCTTTTTGTTCATCAAAATGTACCCAGCTTCATGAAGACAGTGTGCTGAGCACCTGTCCCTTTTGTTCATGGTGACCCACACGACGCCTACTGAGTGCTTTACTGAGCAGGAATGCTTCGGGTGGGAATTCCCTGACAACCGATGGCAATCAAAATATATGTGTAAGCTCCTACCTTTGTAAGTCACTACTTTGAGTGGTTCATTATACCATAAGACCACAAAGGAATCAAATATAAAAAAGTAAATTCAAACCTCTCCCTGACTTTTAAAGTTTCAAAGAAACTACATATATATTCTAAGAAATAACACTTTAGGTCAGTTTTCCAAAGTGTGAGATACTTACCCCCACCACAGGGTTACAGTAAATCAGGAAGAACCCAAGGGGGGTTGACAGTAGCACCAAGTACAATTTGGGCAGGACTGGGAGGGGTGGGAGTGGGGGCAGGCAGCACTTTCTGTTGCTCACTCAAAGAAGGTAGATTTTCCAGGGGATGCTAAATAGATGTTTTTTTTTTCCCTGAATAGAGGGTGACAGACCAAATAAGTTTGGGAACCTCTGCTTTAGGACAATTAATAGAATTTTTAATTGGAGCACATTATCAGTGTATATGGCTTCTTCTAATGACACTCAAATATAATGACCCTCTGTAATTACCAACCTACATGAGCGTTCTCATGAGGTGCCACATAAAACCGGCACAATCACCAACAGGGAGACTGGAGGCCAGGGGAGGTAGGAACACAGCCCAGCTAGAAATATGCAGTGGAAGTTAATCACTGTAATTTAGATTTTGTTACTAAGTCCCAGGTACAAGCTCTTTTATGCACTGTCAGGAGATTTCCACATTAATTGCTGTTCCTGTCTTCTGAGGACACAAACACTCTAATTTGCAGTGATTTTAGTTTCTCTAGCAATGTGCACTTGGTGGCGAAGTCGCCCTTTACCTCCAGAAAAGGAAAGCTGCTAGAGCCCTGATTATGCAGCTCATTCTGCCAAGATCGACAGCCTGAAGTTACAAAGCACCCCCATTTATCAGAGTCTGGAAAGGAATGTGACTCAACCTATTGGTGGGTGGGGACCCCGGGAGGCCACACTCTCCTCTAGTAAGTTTGACTTTCAATAGGAGTGTTGTTGCCACATGATGATCTGAACGATTTCCAACCGGTCAGTGCAGAGCAGAAAATGTGGCTAATGTTGAGGCCTTCTGCCCAAGTCAGTATGTGCGGGTAATGCCAGCCTAGGCACCTGCGGGGGAAGGGGGGGATGCCTTGGTAGGTAGTCTGGTTTCTTAGCTTTGCTCGGCGGCTCGACCCATTTTGTGCTTTGGCATCAGAGATTCAAGCCATTTCAATCTTCCTTCATGGTGATGTCATTCTACACCAGATTTTTATAATTGCCTTTCTCCTGCCATCAATTTAGACCAGATCAGTTATTTCCAGATGTAATTCTTTAAAGGGGCATCTGCTTCTAAATTTAAGAACGGGAGTCAACAAACAAACAAACACCCCCCAGCCCAACAAGATAAAACAGAACAAAAATCTCAGGAATACAACAAAACCCCTAAACCTCAGAGAAACTATCCTGGACTAAAAAATGTGTAAATGCAAGCAAAGGTTATAGGGAATGATAAAATGGGACATGGCCAAGCTAGCAAGTGTGCACCCCATTCTGTCCTGTGATCCCTACCTGGCTTTCTATTCTGCTTGTCCAAACACTTCCTTAACAGACCCGCATTAAACATTTTATTTTCTGAATTCTGGGAAGGGGACTGGATTCCTGTATCCAAGAATGGAGAGATGACCTTCCCCAAGGGCTTTGGTGCCTGAGGTTATATAGTTTTCAGACCCTTCAGGATCATTTTTTCAATTATTGCTACAAAGTAGTGGCAAACAGAAACAAAATCTCATACCATAGGGTCAACCTAGAATTGTTAAAGGTGTGAAGCTCAGGGCTGGAGGTATAGTACAGTAGGCAGGATGTTTGCCTTGCATGTAGCTGACCTGGGGTGATCCGGGGCATCCCGTATAGCCAGGCATACGCCCTGAGCACCACCAGGTGTGGCCCCCAAAACAAGCAAATAGAAGATGGGAAGCTCAAGAATCTTATTGGTAACAGTACAGAGAGAGTGAGAAAATTGAACTGCAGCAGATGAAGTTAAGCAAGTCTAAACGAAGCAGAGACTGTCCTCACTCATTAAGATGATTTGGAGTTTACAGACAAGAGTATGATGAGCCCAGATTCCCTTTGGACAAGTAAGACTGAATCCAAATACCTCTCCAATGATAATAAAACGTCTGGAAAACCACAAGGTCAGATGCTGTCACACACCTGAACCACAACTGACAACAACGAAAGGTTAACAGGAGAAATCACCAGACTCAAAAAGAGAATGATGGGCTGTTTCCTCCCTAAAATGAAGAATCTGTAATTTTAGCCTCAAATCCAAAAGAAGAAATTAAAAACAGCATTAATCTGGCCTCTCAGAGTAACCCAGAGGTGTGGAAATGTTTACTTTCTATTCTGAAAGGTAGGGAGAACTGTCTTCATTTGAGCTGCACTTTTCAGTTGCACATGCCCCACACTCGCACATCACTGCTGGAAGCCAATTACTGAAGAAAATGACACGCAGATAGTGGAAGGTGACACTCTCGGGGTGGCAATGCAGACAATGTAGCATCATCAATAATGCCCTTGTACGTCTGAGAACTTTTTCTTTGAAAATTTGACCAAGACTGAAAAAAAAAAAAAAGAATGTTCCAAAGACATTCCATTTTAAATTCTCTCTTACAAGCTGAGAGTAGTCAACACTGCAAAACATTTCTTTAATCCTGAAACTACAGTGGTTAAGGTGACTGCCTTGCACGTGGCTACTCTTGGTTTGATTCCCCATACTTCCAGGGGTGATTCCTGAGCATAGAACTAGGAGTAAGCTTAGTTCTATGGCTCAACTGGGCAAGACTACAAAACAAAACAAAACAAAACAAAGGAGGGGAAAATAAAAAGAAAATGAAAAATTTTCTCCAATTTTGATGCAGACAGGAAATATTTTATAAACTTAGATGTAATCTGCCAACTTTTCTCGGTTTAACCTGGTGCATTACAATTATAGGAATAAGGCAATTCGGTGGCAAGTCTAGGCATTATATAAAAGTATTATTGCCACTGTATATCAAACCCCCATTTTTCTTCTTCTTCTTCTTTTTTTTTTAAACATACTCTTGAGCCACGTGAAGTGGGATGAAGCTTGCAAACTTGCTTAGAAGCCCTGAGTGGGTGAGTTACCTGGTGTGGGAAGCAGCGTCATTTATGCTGAAAGTGCTGTTCTCCCGGGTCAGGGGGCTGGAGCCGGCCTGGCTCTTGCTGTGGATGTCCAAACTTAGAGAGGACTCTGCTTTCCGATCCAGGCCGTGGCCCTCTGCCTCTAAAGTCCGATCTGCCAGTGAGATCACTTCACTCGAACTATGCCACAGGGGTGCTACTTTCTCTTTGCCTGGTCCTGAGCGGGGTGACGAGGTGGCGGCCCCCAAGGACACCGTGCTGCCATGGCTGGGGCCATAGGAAGTGGTGTCGATGCCACTGTCTGCTGAGGTGCCTTGCAGGTAGTTGTAGCTGTTGAGTTCGGATTCGGTACGGTCGCCATCATACCACTTCTCGTCGCTGTGGACGCTGGAGGCATTGCTGGAGAGGGTATTGCTGCTGGAGTGGCTTGAGTAGTGGCTGTCAGACTGCAAGGGAAGCATCAGACACTAAAGTACAAGTACTTCAACACCACGGGAAAATAAACAGGAAAGCCGTACTGAGACATGTGCAGTTATGGGGCGCTGATGGCACAAAAATCCCAATGATGGGGACTAGGGAGATGGCTCAAAGGGCTGGAGTGGAAGCATTGTGTGTGGGAGGTCTGGGTTTGACCCCTGGTAACACCTGGTCACCTGGGCAGCATATCTGGAGTGGTCGCTGTGCATCACTGGCTGTGCTCAACCCCTCCCCCTTCCACAAAAACAAAGAAAAAAAATCTGACGAAGACAAATCAAATAAGAAATACCTGGAAAAACGCATTCAGATGTTTCCATGCAGAGAGTTTAGGAATGTATTTCCTTAAGAATCTATTTCTCATTACTAGAGTTATGCCTATTAGTAATATTGAGACATTTTTAATTAAAAATAATTTAAACTGTCATTAGAGACTTTAGTATCTTAAATAGAAACAGGAAACAAAACTTCTAAAGACTAATAACCCAGAAAATCTGGTTGACTCTAAAAGTTCGACTGTTTAGAGTAAATAGCAAGGTACAATGGTACAGATCTTGTCGATCTTCAATTAGCATCCACTTAGGAGGCAGCTTTCTAAGGAGTAATTGCAAGTAAAATTACATAGAGGTTCCAAAATTACACAGAGGGGTCAGAGAGATAGTACAAATAGGACTGCCTTTCATGCAGGCAACCATGGTTTGAACCCTTGCCCCCATATATGGTCCCTGAGTACTCCCAGGGGTTACTCCTGAGCACAGAACCAGGAATAGCCCCTGAGCACTGTCAGGTGTGCCTTCTAGCCCAACTGTCTTGGGACCCCACCCCTGCAGAGGTTCCAAGACAACTCAATAGGGGACACGAAATAGGTTATTGAGTAGCTGGTTCTGATAAAAACTGATGCCAAAAAGAATAAAGTTGGATCCATACTCTATAAATTCAAGAGTCTAAAACTAGAACTAAATTTGAACTTTTGTAAAATCTTTGGAAGAACAGGTATTTGTTTTGATGATCTTGAATTAGTCAAATGTTTCTTACACCTGATACCAAAAGTGCAGAAATAGAAATCAACTGGATTTTATAAAAACTGAAAATCCACTGCACTTCAAATAACCTCATGTAAAAAATCGGCAAAAAAATCTGAATAGATATTCCTCCAAAGAAGATCCACAAACAGCCAATGAACACCTGAAAAGAAGCTCAATATCATCCTTTTGTCGTTAGAGAACTGCAACTTAAAACCACAATGAGAAAACATTTCACACAAAGTAAGATAGCTAGAATTAAAAAATGTAGTCAGTGACAATGGTTGATATTGCTGCTGAAAATGTCAATTGGGAGAACGGCTAGACTTTCACTCTTGGTGTATGCCCAAGAGAAATGAAAACATATGCTCACACAAAACTTTCCATGTAAATGTTTATAGCATCAGTTTTTATAATCGCCCCCAAAGCTGAAACAAATCAAATACCTATCAATTGATTGGATAAAAGAACAGGGTTGGGTGAGGGAGGAAGCTCAGAAGGTTGAGCAAAGGCTCTGCATGTGGAGTGACACAAGAGAGCAGAGCTGTGATTACCCTGCAGCACCACTGGGTATGGCCAATCCAGTATGCCCACCCCTGAAGAATGCAGTTTATCTACAGAAAGGACTATTACCCAGCCAATAAGAAATGAAGTACTGCATGTGCCACAACATGGATTCATTCAGAAACACTATGTTGAATTAAAGAAGATACACACAAATGGCATTTAGTGTATGATTTGATTTATATAAAATGTTTGGAGCAGACACAGCCATACACACTAAGTACAAAATCTGGACAAGGGCTTAGAGGGAATGGAAATTGTGTGATTGCCTAAAGAGACAGGGTTTCTTTTTGAGGTGATGAAAATGTTCTGCAATTAGATCAGGATGCTGGTTGCACATCTAAAAACCACTGAACCATACATTTAATGTGGGTGAAAACTAAGGTCTATGAATTTTATCTCAATTTTATTAGTTTGTAAATTAGAACATTTTTTCATTACAAGAAATTAAATGTAGGGTTTTACTTGGACAAGGGATGAACTTTAGTACCAAGCCATTATCCTAGCCTAAATCTCAATTTTGTTATATTTAAGTTTTTTTGTTGTTTTTGAGCCACATCTGCTGCTGCTCTGGGGTATCCTGTGGTGCTGGGGATGCTACTGGGGTCAGTACTCCCTCTACTGTCCCTCTGAGTACTATGTTCCATTTAAAATTGTATCCATACACCTTTCTGTAGTTGCTTAAAATGAACATTTTATAGTTTACCAAGGAAGAAATAAATCTTTAAAAGTTATGTGAGTCCAATAATACTTTAGTCAAGTTTTGTGGTACCAAGAGTTCAACACAGGGCCTCGGTGCTCTCCTACTGAGCAACACACCTAAAACAGTATTTTAATATTAGAGGGAGTCAGAAAGTAGACAAACTTAGGAAATTAAGGGAAAGAAAAGAGGAAAACGGAGTTTTCTGGTTTGAAACATTATTTTGAGTAAATTAAGGCACTCGCAAAAGAAACATGCTCTCTATATAAGCTGAGGTTTGGGGTAGGATTGGTGAACGCTCCCGATTCATGTCACAGTCTATGATTTCTTCCCCTTAGAAAGGAGTCGATCCCGATTATTTTACTGGCACGACTTTAGTTCTTCTTCATAAGAGAAAGTTTGTGTTATGGAGCTTTTACTTCATCTTACTATCTGTGGGGCTGAATTCTCTAGCTGTGAACTTGTACTAGAGTCTGGTGCCTCTGTGGCAGGCAGGGCCGTGGAGCACTCTTCAATGATGTGCTGTGAGAACAAAGCACACCAGATGTTTCTACTGAAATAGAATGTGCTATTTTTTTTTTCTGGTTTGGAGACCATAACTTGGTGGTACTCAGGGACTCTGGCTCTGTGTTTGGGGGACCATGTGGAGCCAGGGATGGAACTCAGGCTTCCTGATTGCCAAGTTATCTCCCTGGGGCCCTCAAAATATAAAATGAATCATATTTGTCATCTTAAATTTTAAAAAATGAAAAAAGGAACAGGTGCTATTAACTTGAAGAACATCATTTATCAAATCTAATTTATCCACAATATGTTACCATGTTATCAATATAAAAATTAACAAAGGAGGGAAACTGACAAATTGAGATCATCTTCCATTTGTAAGTTGTGGTGTGATGACTCACCTATCATAAGGAACTCCCCACAGAGCCGAACTGCCTGCTCAGGTGTGTGTATGCCTCTCCTTAATTTATGCTTCAATACCGTTTTCTCTGGAGCAAAACTTTTCACTTTTTTAGGTCACCCCTGGAAGTGCTCAGGGGCTACTCCAGGCTTTGTGTTCGGGGGACAATGTGGGGCAAAGGATGGAACCCAGGCCTCTTATGTGCAAAGCGTGTGCTCCAGTTCGTTGAGCAACCTCTCCAGTTGGCTAGAGCACACTTCTATGGGCCTTCTCATTAAAAGTTTCTAAGCACCTGGTCTTCAGTAGGAAGCTCACCCTGAGGGGGGTTGAAGCAAGGAATTGCATGGGAGGGACACTGGCACAGTGTGGCGGGAAGTGGACACTGGTGGAGGGTGTGTAATGCATGAAATAAATAGTATTTAAAAAATAGCATTTAAAAAAAGACTAGACTAGGGCTGGAGCGATAGCACAGCGGGTAGGGCGTTCGCCTTACAAGCGGCCAACATGGCCGACCCGAGTTCGATTCCTCCGCCCCTCTCGGAGAGCCCGGCAAGCTACCGAGAGTATTCGATATGCCAGACACAGTAACAACAAAGTCTCCAATGGAGACGTTACTGGGCCCGCTCGAGCAAATCTACGATCAACGGGAGGGCCTTTACCTTTTTACCTTTACCTTAAAAAAAAGTTTCTGAGCAGCTTATAAAATAGTTGATAATAAACACAACAATTGCTCAGGTCTCAGAATGACACAGATATAATCACATACTCCAGCTAATAGATCAAGCAAATCAACTCAGTATAAAAGGGTGGGGTTGGGGTGGGATGGGGGGGCAGGTGTACATTCTGGGTCCCTTCACAACAGCAGCCGTATTAACAACAGGAAGAGGAAGAGAGAAATGGAAAAAAAAAGGTTGGGTTAGGGGCAGAATAATGATTCTTATTCCTAGTCCTATCTATATATGACAAGGAACCTTATCATAAAAGAACTATCATGAAAAGTGTGGCTGTGGGCTTGTCACAAAGCTGTCTATCCCCTGGAGTGATGGTCCAACCATATTTCTTGCTTGTGGTTGTGTAAGTCAATGGTTCAGCATTTTAGGACTGTGTAGGATGGAGCCAGTCTTCTATCTAGGTTGGGGTGGCAGGTGGATACCCATGAGGAATGACTACCTATTAAAATGCAACCTGAGCCCCACTGATTGCCTGAGTGAGCAAATGCCTTCTTGACCCTGGGAAAGTCGAGCAGAGCAGATCGGCAGCATTTTAATAAGGAATCCACGGCTTGTAGCATTTGCAGTTAACTTACATGTCCTTGTTTGTTTGGAGACAAATGAACCACCGGGTCCTGCCGCATTAACCTCCCACTGGGGCTCTCTCGGAAAGCTGGCAGAACTTTGGATACTGCTGGGAGATGGCACGTCGGCTCTGGAATACAGCACAGGATGTTATGGGGCAGGCACTAAGCAGATAAAAAAGCACATGTTGACAAATGAAGACGGCTTGCCATGGCATCTCTCAGTTCTGACCAGCAAACGCTGAATTTCAGCAGCAAGCTTGTTGAGAGTTTATGTGATCAATAGCATGTCAGAAACGGAGTGGCTGATGGAGAAAGCTTGCAGCTGCGTGACAGTGTGTCACATCATACACATTAGCATAGCCAAGAACCACCAAACCAAAGGCCATGAACAATGCGGCAAAGTCAGAAACCAACTTTTGGTTTGGGGGGAAAAGTCTATGGAATTATATGGATTCAATTTATGAAATTCATTCATTGCAAAGAGTTGCTAACCTAGCTTGGTCTACATTACCTAGACAGGCATGGATGCAATCACATGTTACTTACCATGACACTTTGGAAACATTTTACCTGTATATTCATGCTGCTCGAGGACAAAAGAATTGAAATCCTGAGGTCCTCTATAACTGTAAGCTAAGCACAACAGAAAAGACACACAGCAACTAGTTTACTTAAAACAATTGCTTCCTTTTGGACTGCAAGCTGGCATTCAAGATGGGTTCCAAAGGTGAAAGGTGAGCCACTTAGCCTTTCCACACACCCACTGCTAACAGTGCACAGCTCTGCACTGCTGCAGCCCCTTTCCTAACACATAAAAATCTGGGTGACATACTCTTCTACTCTGACTCTCAACCACTTTCAAAAGCAGAGAGGGAGAAACACAAACAGCCACCGAGATGAGAGGTCAATAAGTTAAATCCCTTGCCTCCACTGGGCTATTACTTTATAACACACTGATGTACAAAGACACATGGGTCAGGCTGACACAAGAGAATTGCCTCAATATTTCCAATTAGTGATCATTAAAGAATTTTGTCATTATGGATTGAGTGTATTGAGTAATGAGAATATAATAGTGTTTTTTTCCTAACCTTTTTCCTCTACCAATTAAACCGCAGATTCCTCCTGACAAAATAAGTAGAAAAGATTATGGTATTCCCTTGGGATGCTGAAAAATCAAAAAATTACAAAGAGGTACTCTAATTTAACATTTTATCTAAATAGGTTGAATGGGGAAAGTATACTGCTTGGTGAAAAGGGCTTCTTTAAAAAGGCTCGGTGGCTCTCTTATTAAATAAGAGCCCTTACTAAAAAGATGAAAAGCTATCTTACAATTATCATCAATATTAGATGTAGTTTTATATATGAAGAGTGGGATGCTACTGCACTATAACTGATGCAAGGGAAAAAGACTAGAGAGTGTTTTGTGTGAAAGAATGTTTAGAGGTCTAGGAGGAACCTTGTAATTAGCCTTTCCAGTTCCAGGATACCTTTTCATTCCCTATCTGACTTCCCAGAGTGGGAAGTGAGACACTGAGCACTGCACAAAGGGCTGCTGGCAGCTCTCTTCAAAGCCTGCCCTAGGAGCCAAAAAAAGCTGCTAGAGTCATGCTGAACAAGGGATCCTTTTCACATGTGTCGTTACCATCTCAACAGTATCAAAACATATGGGATTAAAAACATTCTGTCAAGAGCAGAACAGTGCATCGGAGTATGCTCAGGTTTTCCATGCTGGGCGGGTGGGAGGAGAGTGGGGAATGACAGATGGCTTCAGCAAGGCACATCTTCCTGAAGTTATGGGAACAAAGCATCTTCCGAACATAAGAATTACATTTGTCTTCCGCAACTCCTATCTTGGCTGAATACAATGCTAGTCTCCTCTATGCTGCCCGCTAGTACATTCGCACCGGTACAGTCATTAAAACAGCAAAATGGAGCATTTGGAGAAAAGATGGCTCTTTCCTGAAATGTTACTTTTTTTTTCAGCCCTGAAATTTATTTCATTTAATCCCACAGAGGTAGTAATGGTACTAGAGATAAGATAAAGGAACACAGAGCTAACACCGTAAATTCAAGTCTCTGATGTACCTATCAACTATGCTGATATTTGAATTGTGCTGCTGTGTTGAAACCGTCTTCTTTCATGGGAAGTTTTTATTATATCAACTAGTGTTCTGGTGTCATTGTTGAAAAACTCCATGTACAGGCAGAAGGGGGTATGTGCCAGAAATCTAAATGAAGACTCTCTAATGCAAATTGTTCCCATCCAGCTGTTTTATATTGTTAATGACTCTTCCTTAGCCGACAATTTAATAGTATACTGGGGGGGGGGATGCATATAAATCAGGAAGAATATTCTAAGTAAGCTACAGATTTAAACTAACATCAATAGTTGATTGCTGTTGTTTTTTGACTTTTGTACCATATCTGGCAGTGCTTGGGGACTAACCTGGCAGTGCTGGGGGACTACCCTGGCAGTGCTTAGGGACTTCTACTTCCTGGCTCATTGCTGGGGGCCACTCCCAACAGTGTTCATGGAACCAAGTGATGCTGAGGATCAAATCTGGGGCCTCTGCATACAAAGCATACAGCCAGCCCTTTGAGCTATCTCCCGGGCCAGGTACATAAATTTTTATTACTCAAAATCCAACATTAAGAATACCTTCAGAAATTTCTCTGGCTGCTTAGGCTAGGCTAGAGCAAACCCAAGTTGAAAGGTGGGAGATACTTAGATCTATGGACTAGTAGTCCAGCATTTTAATCTTGATGCTGAAAATAATCTCTATGTCTTTTCAATCTAAAAATTTAGAGTCAGAATTCCTTGACTTTGATCTCAGGGTTTATTTTGTTGCTTTCACTTATACTCACTCTAACTTCACCCTACTTCCCACTCAATTAACCAGGCATTTATTACACAATAGATAGATGGCTTTGATGACATTATGAGGTGACCAAAGTCACCTTGGTGTATCAGCAACTAGCTTTCTGCAGAGGTTAGTTACTTACCCATCTGGTCAGCAATGCTGTCCTCACTTCTTTGCCAGCTGGGTGTGGATTTTCCACTGCCTCCAATATCTGACTGCGTGTTCTGCCGGTCAATGGAGGCTGGAGATCTGCGGCTTACTCCAAACCTGTGATGATTCCCCAAGCAAAGCAGAGACAACATCAGGGATCTCATCTGTAAGGGTGGAAGGACCTGAAACTCTCATTACATATTTGTGAGTTGTTCTTGTCTGGACCTTATACTGTGTGCATGATGGTCAATATATATTTTTTTGGTGTTGGGGGCATACCTGGCAGTTCTCTGGGCTTACTCCTGGCTCTGCGCTCAGGGATCACTCCTGGTGGGCTCAGGGGACTATACAGGGCGTCAGGGTTTGGACCCAGTCAGCCATGTGCCCTACCTGCTGTATTATCTCTCTGGCACGATCAATATATATTCTGATGCTATTCAGAAATGTTCAAAAATTTTGGAGAGACAGTACAAGGGTGAAGGCAGCTAACTGTGCATGGTTGACCTAAATTTGATCCCCAGCACATGGGATATGGTCCCAACAGCCGCTACACCACACCACCCCTAGGAGTGATCCCTGAGCACTAAGTAAGCCCTAAGCACAGGCAGCAGTGGTCCAAACCTCCTTCCCAAATGCTCAAAATTTTCAGTACATAAACTGTAAACCAGGGTATGAACCCTGATAACTGAGCCAAACCTAAAAATAAGAAGTGTAGAGTGAGATGCTGAAATATTTTTAGTCCTAAGTTACGAAGCTCAGATGCATCTATAGTCAAATGGAAAAGTGTCACTTATACATTGTTGTTCCAGCATACCATCTCAATGGGGATAATTCAGAGGCTTAATTCTCTTAACTTCAGATTTATTAAATCATGTCATTCCTTCCCTGTTCCATAGGGGAGGGACGGTGTTCAGTCCACATCAAGAGGTGCTCAGGGAATACTCCTGGCTGTGTGCCAAGAAATGACCCCTGGAATTGGGTTCCCTATGTGGTGCTGGGGACTACAAGGCAAGGAAGCAAGGCAAGTAATTGTGAAGAAGTATTTTCTGGGTATTCGCTCCTTTAAGGTCTCTGAAAGACTTCAGGCTACATATACACATACTTTTTAAATTGTCTAAAGGAAGACTAATTGGAAATAGATAAACTAGCATATGTGAAAAACACCTTTCTGGAAAAAAGTTTATTTATTTTTTTTGTGTGGGGAGGAGGGTATTTGTGCCACACCTGGCTATACTCAGGACTTTTACTCCTAGTTCTGTGCTCAGGGTTTCAGGGATGGAATCAGGGTCAGTCACGTAAAGACAAGCACCTTATCCACTGTACTCTTAGACCCCTGAGTATTTAACTATTTAAGTTCTACATAGAATAATTAACATGACATGTCCTTAAGAATATGCCTCACTTAGCAATATTACAAAGTAAATTATGACTAAGCCTATGAAAAAGGACCACATTATGAAATGCAAACAACCACGTGGAAATTTACAAATGTGGGTGGTTACTAATAGGGTTGTGAAAAATCTTTAAAAAAATGATGAAGCAGACAGAAGTTAGTCAACACATGTGAGAGGTGTCTTATTTGCTGTAACACAAAATCACAGGAGAAAACCAGCAAGTGGTTTATTGGAAAGAGTAGGAAGACCGGGAGAAGGAAGAACTAAACTCAAGTTTCAGCTCTGCAATCCAAAGTTACTCTAGTTTTGCCTCTATTTCTTCATCTGCAAAAGGGAATTCCATTGTATGGAGTTGGGAATAAGAATTCCCATAAAAGCACTTGCAAAGTAAAGAAGACCACAGAGCATTTAGTAAAACTCTCACTATAGAATCTCACAGGTCACCTGTACACAAATAATCAGTTGCAAAACTCAATCATAAGCATCACTAAACACAGTTTCATTATTAAAACAAAGAGACTTTGGTGAATGTGATTATTAGGAAAAAAAAGATTCACAAATAGTGATTGCTGCCATCTCCCCTTGAAATGGCAAACTTTGTTTTTTGTTTGTAAATGGAAACATTTACTGGCAAGTAGAAGGGAAAGGAAAAGAAACTTCCCAGCTGAAGAGGAACTTAGTATAGGAGTAAGTTCTGAAACAAGTAGGTTCTTATTTAGTTCAGAATAATAAATATTCTTGAACTGGCTATTTTGGGATCCAATTTCAATTTTGCTCTCAATATGAACTTAAAAATGGTGGGTGTGGTGGGCAGGGGGTTGGGCGGGGGGAGAGTTGGAGAGAGATAGTGCAGGAGGTGAGGCACTTGCCTTGCATGCAGTCACCCTGGTTCAATACCTGGCAATGCAAATGGTCCCCCAGCACCACCAGGAGCAGTCCCTGAGCAGAGAGCCAGGAGAGAGCTCCAAGCATAATCTGGCACGTATTCAAAAATACTTAACAAACACACATAACTCAGTTACAAAACAACCACCCCATCAAAAATAGCCATTAAGATTTGAACAAACATTTTTCTGTGGACCTATAGATGGTCAAAAGGTACATGAAAAAATATTCATCACCTCATATTTAGGGAATAGCAAATTAAAATGGAGTAAATTATCATCTTGGACTTGTTGGAATAGCTTGTCAAAAGACAGGCAAAAAGAAGTGGTGGTGTGGAAATGGAGATAAAGTCACCGTTATTCACTGCTGGTAGGAACGCAGATTGCTGCCAACTTCATGGCGTTTCCTCAGAAAATTAAAAATACAACTGCTACATGACCCAGTTATTTGGCTTCTCCAGGATACTGCGCTGTGGTTCACTTAACTGCCACATCCTCACCTTCATGCGTACAGGCACCATTCCTACGTCATTTGTGTGCAGGAGGTGTTTTAACTACCTTACTCAATGCTGGTGGTTTGATGCTCTGGGGCCCTTGCTGCAATGCTGTTTGGATCTTGCAGTGTTAAGGATTATCTAGTGGTGCTCAGGAGTTGCTAAGGTCTCACCTGGTGGAAGTCGTGGGCCTCGAGGGCTGCACCCAGGGATGCTGGGGATCATGTGGTTCTGGGGATCACACCAGGGTGGGCTGCATGAAGGCAAGTGCTTTCACCTGCACTATCTTCCTGTCCTTTCAATTTAGAGTGGCTCAGTGTCCCCCCGCAGGGAGCGGGCAGCCACACAGCAAACATGTGTGGCAGGGGAACAGATGGCATGTGTGGACCACCACTGTCCCACTGGCAGTGTGGGCTTTTGAGCTGTTTCAAGTTCTACGTGAATGAGTCTGAAGCAGATTATAGAAATGAATCCACCCCTTCTTCCCAGTCAGAGCATACAGATCTGTTTCTGCAAGGCTGAGCTGCAGAGTAGATGGCACCATTTTCTTTTAGGAAGGGTAACCTTGGGATCAAACGGGGCCCATGAGTCATGCGCGTGTGATGTACGGTGAACCAGTGTCTCCTGAATCATGGATGCAAGAAGTGAAAACGGTCTGTCATTCAGAGGAGAGAGCTTTCATCTTCTTATACAAGATGGCTGGTAAAAAAGTCACACAGTATGGTAAATAATAACAAGGTAACCTTACCAGAGAGAAAACTCTGAATGCCATTATGGTGAAGTTAATAACAGGCATCATCTTGAATAATTGCAACCTCATTAAATTGTTCAGTATGGGCAGTGGAACCATGTGGCAGTGGAACGACGAGCAATGAACATTCACAATCACCAAGATATTAATGTTTCTAATTACACTTTTGCTATGTATACTTAGAATCTATCATCATCAGAAGAAAACAATGCCTTTTGTTGTTGTTAGCTCATTTGTTTTTCATTGTTGTTCTAACACTGACATTGTGATAAATTTTTTATTTCTGATGTCAAATCAGACCTTTTAAAATGAACTAATTAAAACCAGAAATAATTAGCTGGGTTTGTGATGTGGGACAATAATGATACTTAACTCATAAAACCTTTTGTGGGGACTCATGAATAAGAGCTAACATTTTTTTCCTAATTGTCACTGAAGTAATTAAAAGCAAGAAATGTGCCTTTTAGATATGCTACCCAGGGAATCCTGGGGGAGCCATGGGAAGTGGATGGGGAAAGGTTTTATAGAGATTTTATTACCTAATTCTGCTAAAAAACACACTGAGCAACAACAAAATACTTAATCGTGGTAAAAAAAAAAACAACCCAACAAAATACCATGGGATAAAAAACAACATGTTTTTGGAAGGAATTCTGAATAAACATGATTATTTGCGGCATTGTAAAACTTTAGGAATATAAACATTGTGCATTTGTTAAAAATACATTTGAAGAACACTTAGAATAGAAACACTGCTTTCTTTAAATACCTCATTCACTTTTCAAATGGTTTTTCCAGCAAGTTACAGGAAAGCTCTCTCCAAGGTTAGGCTTAGACGGTTCTTTGAACCCACTCTGGGTAAAGGCAGCCAACGTACATTGGGAGGTGGTCTGCCGCTAATTATACTCAGCCTCAGCACTTCCAACCCATGCGCTGCCCTGCCTCTACGATCTCTACATTTCGCTTCTTTGTGACTCTTGTCAGAATCAAGTAGTGACTTTTGGAAAGTCAAAATAACTGACAAACACATAAGTCTTCTAACATATGTGCAAGATCATTTCAAGTTTTCTTTTTTTGGCAGGCTCACATCTAGTGGTGCTAAGGGCTTACTCCTGGCCCTGGGCTTAGGGATCACTCTTGGTGGGACCAGGGGACCATAATGGGTGCCGGGGATGCAACCTGGGTCAACGCAAGGTAGGCAATGCAAGCCTACCGGCTGTACTACTGCTTCCGCCCCCTTTAAGTTCTGAATTTGATGATCACATCCTCTACTTTAATAGTAATATAAACTCCACCCAGGCCACAGCAGTCCACTCTGGGGAAAATATTCAGAAGTGATACAATCTTTACTATGACACCTGACACTATAACAAAGAAATGGCTTTGATTTCTCTGCTGTTGGATCCTTAGAGATGAGAGAATGTTAAACTTCTTAAAGAGTGATTTGTATCTGCCACTGAAACACTTTTCTATCTAGCATATTAGCCACGTTTTCCCTCTGCTTTTTTTCTTTTGTTTGGTACAGTGATCAAGGCAGGCTGAATGAATGGAAATCATTTTACATGTCTGAATTACAAGTGAAAGACCTCGGATATCCTCTGGGACCATGTACAGGGCAACAAGCATACCTACCCTTCGGGCATGGATTTTTGCCTGTAAGTGCCCCCACCGGAGCCTGTCTCACTGGATGAAGACAAGTTGCTAGGGGAGTTTCGACACTGCTGGGATCTTGCTAAAGCCATGGATGAGACTGTCACGTAGATGTCCGATCCAGGAGACAGCCTGTGTGTGCAAGGCAAACATAGGAAGTCAACAACTGAAAGGGAAAATCCCAAGGCGATGCGTGATATGTCGTGTCATAAGAATGCAGCCACGGCAGTGCCTTCATGAAGATATTGAAAATGAAGCTAGCTGAGAGCCCACAAAACAAACTTTCCCATAAAACCATTCCCCAAGGCAACACCTGGAAAACTGCCTCGAAGGAGGTAGGGGTATGGTTGGTCAAAAAATAACAGGAGGCAAAAGGAAAACCCCAACATGTATGTTTTCAAAAGCTACCATAATTCAATGTCTGCATTGCTTGTGCAGTTCCTGAATATGGCAGTAACGAGGATAACCAAACCTGGCGATAGTAACACAATCATGAATTTCAATTTTTCACACTGGCTCTCCTGGAGTAGATGACCACAGTGAGGCCCATATGCTCTTTGTGTATTTCGTTGTTTTCCAATTTTATTACCCAAGTCTGGAACGAATATTTGGATTTTGCATTTGGTGGTTATAACTTTGGCTGCCAGTAGCATCAACCTATTAAAAGCCTCTATGACAAATGCCTAGATGTATTTAACAAAGTTACTGATTTTATGTGAAAGCACAGCAGAAGAGCACTCCACATAGTCATGCAATGCATTTCTTCCCCTCCTTCCTTTTTACTGTCAGGGGGCTGGGGGGGGGGGGAGCACCCAACTGTACTTGGGGCTAACTCTGGGCTCTGCACTCCTGGCAGTGCTCAAGGTTTACCCCTGGCTGGGCTCAAGTGATCATATGTGGTGCTGGGGACTGAACTCAGGTAAGCTATATGCAAGGCACCTTTACCCCTGCGCTATCTCTCTGGTCTAACACATTTATTTCTAGTGACGACACTCCTTCACATTCCGGACAAGAGAGTGGGGCTTCGTAGGCAGGAGGGACAGACTGCTTCCTAGTACCTCTTCTTCGTAGGAGGTGACAAAGCAGCATGGCTGCACTTGGGAGCAGTTATCTTTTCCTTTAGATATGAGCGCTGGCACCATCCTTGGACTCTCAGCGGCTCATCCCTATTCTACAGAAGGAGTGGAACAGGACTCATTCATTCCCCGAGACACACCTTCTCGTTCCTGGCCCTTCACATGCTAGGCGAGACAGCTACTATCTATCTCTTAGAGGTGCTGAAGCTTTCTTTTCCTAATGAGCCTACTGCTAGTGTACTGCATGGTCAGATGAAGGTGCACATAAAAATACCTTATCCTCAAGTCAAAGTTCTGATGCCTGGGGACAGCACCTGGCACTCCTGGAGCTAGGCCAGTTCTAATGCTGACCCACAGATTTTTGCTGTGGGGCAGACTAAACCGCAACATGACAGAAGCATGTTGAATACCCGAATCACTATGAGAAATTTCCTTACAGAAAAGGAGAAAGGAGAGACAATCCCAAACCCATCTATGCTCAAGAGGCAGAGAGCATGCGCTTGTCACCGACAAACCCCTCATCTCCAGCCATCTCCTGAACAACCATGGGAACACCTGCAAGCAGTTCATCAAATCTCTTCAATCTAACTGTATTTCCCCCCAACTTTCCCCCAGCTCCCAGCACCCCAAACTTATCCCTTCTATATTTATTTCTCAGGTCAAACATCTTGAAGCCATTTTCCCCTCTTCTCCTTTTCCCCACATCCATAGTCAATTAGTGTAATTGAGTTCAGCTACATACTGAGCAAACCCTGGGTCCTGGTCTTGAAAACACAAAGATAAAGATAACTGGTCTCTAACCTGCAGAGGGTGCTTGAGGTCCCTTCATATCCAACCTGAAACCAAATAATATGGCTCCAACTGGCCTTCAGGCCTCCAGGCTCTGTCTACTCAATATCTCCAATACCTGTTCACCATCCCAAGTCATCTGACTGTAAATGGCCTCTCCTATAGCTTCTCCTTTGCCTACAAGACATAGGAACAAACCCATGACACCTTTTCTAGGACTCAGATCATCAAACACAACATCATCCTGGTCACATGCTTTACTGTTCCCTGACTCTTGTATTCTTGATACATCCCCATTTTCAGTTTTGCGTTCTTGATACAAATTCTCAGACTCAGATCCCATATTCCTTTCTTGGTGGAGGGGGAGGGGAGCCTCCCCAGCCATGGTCAGGAGATCTGGAGGCAGGCGCTCTAGCAATCCTTGGCCAACAGAGCCTGTGGTTCAATGTGAGGGCCCTGGAATGTGGTGCTGCACGAGCCCTGCAGTGCCAGCAATGACCTGGGTCACCCGAGCAGGGCCACACCTAGTGTTGTTCAAGGAATCGTGGTGCCAGGGACCAAATAGGTGGCTGCAAGCAAGACATGTGCCTTAACCCCTGGCCCCAGACCTTATTTTATTTTTATTAATTTGTTATAGTTTAGGTTATGTGTTTACAACAGTGTTGGCATTTACGGTCTCAGTGGACACAGTTACCCACTACACCATCACTTAAGTGACCAGGACACCCCTCCACCTCATGTCTCATGTCACCTCCAGTTCACCTACTACCCCCCATTCTCGTGTTCTCAGTTTGTGCTCCAGTTTGCTATCAACTGATACTATCAATATCTTTGTTTTCTCCTATGCACCACAGAGAGTGAGATCATCCTGTGCTTATCTTTCTTCCTGTTTTCTTCCCTCTCACTCAGCATGATACTCTCCAGTTCCATCCAAGTTGCAGCGAACTTCTAGATTTCTTTTTTCTTGTGGCTACATAATATTCTATCTTGTGTGTCTGTGCATGTGCGTGTGTGTTTGTGTGTGTGTGTGTCACAACTTATATATTCATTTGTCTGTTACTGGACACTTAGGTTGTTTCCATATCATGGCTATTGTGCTAGATGCTACAACAAACATAGGTGTGTGTGTATCTTTTTGGATTAGCATTTTAATATTTTTGGGGTACATGCCAAGAAGTGGACTGGCTGGGATGCAAAATACCTCAACAAAATTTTAGCAAACTGCATCTAACAACATACCAAAGAATCATACATTACAATCAAGTGGGAATCATTCCAGAGACGCAAGTGATTTACCATGTGTAAACAAATTAATATAACACATCTTATCAACAAAAGGAAAGATAAAAATCACATGATTCTCTCAGCTGATGTAGAGAAAGTCTTCGAGAAAATTCAACATCCATCTGTGATAAGAATCTTTAATAAAGTAAAGATAGAAGGAATGTACCTAATGATGGTAACCACCATTTACAATAAACCTCTGGCCAACATTATGCTCAAAGGTACAATCTGAGAGCTTTCCCCCTGAGATCAGGCACAAGACAAAGAAAGATGCCTCAATTTACCACTACTGTTCAATATAGCCTTGGAAGTTCTACACAGTAATGGAGCAAGAAAAAGAAATCAAAGGGAACCTAATTGGGAAAAAAAGTCAAACTGGAACCTTGTTGGAAAAAAAGTCAAAATAAACCAGTACAGCAAAGTATCAGTCTACAAAGTCAATACTCAAAAATCTGTTGCTTTTCTCTATGGAAATAACAATCTAGAAGAGAAAGATAACAAAAAACTACCCCACTCCATTCAAAACAGAGTCCCAAAATATCAGATATTTAGAAATCAACATAACAAAAGATTTGTAAAGACTCAGACCCCATATTTTCAACTCTACTCATCTTGTTCTCTGTGACTGGAGTGCCTCCCCATTTTAACTTAGAGAAAATCTTTTTTCTATTAAGGCCCAATTCCAACAACAGCATGTTTCTGAATTTATAGATTAAGTAGAACTTCCCTGAGTCTAACTAAAGTCTGTTCTTTGCACTATTAAAGCATATCAGATGGAATGGTTAGTTAATATCCGTCAATCTCTCCACAAGATTCTGTCCTTGGGGAGCTGGGCTGAGAATTTATCTTCTTATCTCTGATTGCTCAACAGATGCCTTTTGGATGAAGGAAAATCCCCATCAGCATTGTCGGAAATCAAGAAGAGATCAGATTAAGAATGCATACTTATGTCCAATGCTCCAAGAAAGGGGCTCTCAGGCACAGTGGGTCTACAGCTGGAGGATAGCTGGATGCTAATTAAAAAAAAAAAAGTCCCATCATTTGTGGATAACTTGCTAAAAACTGATAAGACTGAAAATGAATAGATTTTCTTAAGTTCGACAAAAGGGGATGATGGAATCATACCAGACACCCTAGTGAATATCACTGATCTGACACGGATCAACGAGAACTTCTGACAACACTTATTCTACGTCACGTGGAATGGGGAAATCAAGGAGACAGAGGTCTTTAGGAAATGTGATGCAAAGCTAGGAAAAGAGACAGATTTCTTAAGTTTCTGTTAACATCACTGCCACTATGACTATAGGAATAAACACACAGTGCTTTCATGAGGATGCCAGATCCTATTGTGCGTGTGAGAGGGTTTAGGGGTAGGGGCAGTGAGGTTAAGGGTAGATCCTAGTGTGTGTGGGGTAGGGGAGATAGGGACAGTGAGCGTAGAGGCAGATCCTAGTGGGGTCTCAGAAAGCTTCTTTGAGTAATGTGCTTTGAGAAGAGAAAGATTAAGACACTTATCTGTATGCCATAAAACAGATGTCTATTTGTCTTTTACGTTAGAATTTCCCAAACTTCTCTACTTTGAAGTAACTGGAAGGATGTGGGGGATGGGAGGGGTGGGTTACAAGGATGAAACCTCTTCCCTCTTTTCTGCTTTTAATATAACTTCATTTTGTAACTGCTCTGGTTTTCTTACTGCTGAGGGGAGTAAGAAATGATGGGGAAAAGGAAGCAACAGAGTGCTAATGTGGCCGAGGACAATGCAACATCATTTTTTGTTGTTGTGGCTGTTTGATTTGGAGCCACTCCTTAAGGTGCTCGGGGGCTACTCCCAGCTACGATCTCGGGGTCACTCCTAGTGATATTTAGGAGATCATAAGGTGCCAGGCACCAAATCTGGGACTCCGCATGTAAAATATATCCTGGGCCCATTGACCTACTTCTCTGTTCCTCCCATGCCTGATGATATTTTAACTTAATTCA